AGGACCGAGCTTTTCAGCGTCAGAGGGGTGGCCTCAGCCTGGCAGCTCACTGCCAGCTTGATGTGCTGGCACTGATTTTCCACCACGCCCTGGGTGGCAGCTTTCAGGCACGAGGGGACATAACAGCGTCCGGAGCTCAGCTGAGTGATGATTGTCCCGTCCACAGTCTGGATTGTCGTCTCTGACACACCTAGCTCCACAAAGCATCGGTGATCGGGGCCCCGGTCTCTTTGCCGCACCGAGTAAACCTGGAGATCGGAGCCCGTGATGATTTTGACAGCTTCAACACTAGGCTGCTTCCGTGCACCATAGCGGAATATGGTTCCACATGTCTTGTTCTTGCAGCTCAGTCCCCGGGTTCCATTGTATGTGCCGCATCGGGGACACTTTCTGATTCCCCTCAATGTGGCCTTCCCCAAATCAGACAAGAAAGCTGGGACTTTAGTCCTCAGAGAGTTGGGTTCCATTTTTCAAAGGCCCTAGGAAAAGCGTAAGCCCATCAGCATGGATATACATTCATACAACACATACACAAGGTTAAAATCATTTATATATTAGTACAGAGAGTAAAATGTAAACAGGTTAGCTACTATTTTCAAATCACACCCTCCAACAGAATATTCGCTTAAGCCATCAAACAAAGTGAAATACTGTTACGCTGAAAAGAAATATTAAAAAAAATAAAAATAAATAAAACAAAAGTGAAGGAACCCTTGCCTTTCATAGCATTATACATTTTTAAAAACCGAATATAGTAACTAAAGCATTTCTCTAGGCTCAATACGGTTTTACACAACAACCTAGATTAGTTAACCGAGTTTTCACATGCACTAATGTTTAATCTGAACAAGAACTGGAGACTGGGAAAGAGGAGTTCTTTCCTTTCCACCATTCCCCATGAAACCCAGTCCAATCCTACCTGAATCAGCTGCCAGAGCATCTGGGAAACAGTGTAACCTGAATTCATAAGACCTGAAAGGTGTTTCATTAGTTTGTGATGATCAGAGAGGACAGGGAAAGACATAATCATTTGCAGAGTAAATAATACTGTTTAACCCAAAGTCTTTTGAAGTTTGAACTCTATGGTGTAACAATGCAGACATTCTGCCTCCTCCTTCTTGGCCAGCCAATGGCAAAGCTCCTGCCCAGTGTTCCAGAGTCAAAGAAGATTCCCACTGCCCTAAGTGGATATCTTGGCCATCTATAAGTAAAACAACAAAAAAATATTAAGGTTATAAAGATAGTGTGTCTCCTCTTAGAATAGGAACCTAGGTCTTCCGGAGGTATTTGAAAACTATTTGACAGAAATTGTTATGGAAATGGTTGTTCTGTACTTCCAACTTAAAGCAGGTAAAACAGTGCTAATGTCATTACGTGGGGAGTTGTCAAGAATACCCAGGACCATGACATATAATTGGCCAAATACTCATTCTTCCCAATGACAATGCATTATATTTTAGAGTGCTTTATGCTTTTCAAAGCGCCTTCACATTATTTCATTTGAACCTCGCAATACTAGTATCTCATTTGAGCTAAACAATGACCACGTTTCACATGAAAATTTAAAAAGTTAAGTATCCTGGGCTGCCTGCCTGGCTCAGTCAGCAGAGCATGTGACTCTTGATCTGAGGATCCTGAATGTGGGCCACACACTGGGCATAAAGAATACTCTTAAAAAAATAAATAAATAAATAAAATGCTAAAAGAAAATTTGAAGTCCTGTGGGTGGCTCAGTTGGTTAAGTGTCTGACTCTTGATTTCAGCTCAGGTCATGATCTCAGGGTCTGAGATTAACCTCCAAGTTGGGCTCTGTGCTCAGCTGGGAGTCTGCTTGAGATTCTCTCCCCCACCCCCTCCATCTGTCCCTCCCTCTGCTTGTGTTCTCTTCTAAAATAAATAAATACATCTTTTTTTTAAAAATTGACATAAAAAAAGTAACTTGCCTGAGGTCACCCAGCAAAATCAGCAATGTGGTTTCCAGTGTCTGCTAAGAGTGTGAATCTCTGCTTTGATTTCCCCTGCAATATTATGAAAAATTTCAGACACAGGGCACCTGGGTGGCTCAGATGGTTAAGCATCTGCCTTCAGCTCAGGTCATGATGTCCAAGGTCCTGGTATCGAGTCCCGAGTCGGGCTCCCTGCTCAGCAGGGAGTCTGCTTCTCCCTCTGTCTCTTCTCTCTGCTCATGAGCTCTTTCTCTCAAATGAATAAACAAAATCTTAAAAAAAAAAAAAAAGAAAATTTTCATACATATTAAAAAATAATTATATAGTGAACTTCTACATTCCCACCCATTAGATTCTATAACTAACATTTTACTGTACTTGCTTTATTACATATCTATCCTTTACTGCACCCATCAATCCCTCATATATTTTATTGCATTTCAAAGTAATTTTTAAAAAAGATTTATTTATGTATTTATTTGATAGAGAAAGACACAGCAAGAGAGGGAACACAAGTAGGGGGAGAGGGAGAGGGAGAAGGAGAAGCAGGCTCCCCACGGAGCAGGGAGCCCAATGTGGGGTTTGATCCCAGGAACCTAGGATCATGACCTGAACGGAAGGCAGACACTTAACTAAGCCACCCAGGTGCCCCATCATTTCAAAGTAATTTATAGGCATCAATTCAGCACTCATATTAACTAAAAGTTCAACTTTTTTTAAAAGATTTTATTTATTTTTAAGTAATCTCTACACCTAACGTGGGGCTCAAACTCACAACCGCAAGATCAAGACTCACAAGTTCTACAGACTGAGCCAGCCAGGCTCCCCAAAGTTCAATATATATATATATGTTTTTTTTAAAGATTTTATTTATTTATTTGTCAGAGAGAGAGAGGGAGAGAGAGTGAGCACAGGCAGACAGAATGGCAGGCTGAGGCAGAGGGAGAAGCAGGCTCCCTGATGAGCAAGGAGCCCGATGTGGGACTCGATCCCAGGACGCTGGGATCATGACCTGAGCCAAAGGCAGCTGCTTAACCAACTGAGCCACCCAGGCGTCCCTTCAATATATTTTTTAAAGTAATCTGCTTGTGATGTTGAAATAGGCTGTTAGTCTGGCCCCCTGACCCTAAAGGATGATGTTGATAAAATATTTTCCCTCCAAGGGCGCCTCGGTGGCTCAGTCATTGGGCATCTGCCTTCAGGTCGGGTCATGGTCCCCACACCCTGGTTGAGCCCCATGTTGGACTCCCTGCTCAGAGGGAAGCCTGTTTCTCCCTCTCCCACTCCCCCTGCTTGTGTTCCCTCTTTCGATGTGTCTCTGTCAAATAAATAAATAAAATCTTAAAAAAAATATATGTTCCCTCCACATGTTCTACTGTGTATTTGTTCATCAACAAGCTATAAGGTACAGGGGCACAGTGGCTGTGGCTGTGTGGGTTAGGCCTCTGACTTCAGCTCGGTCATGATCTCAGGGTCCTGGGATCTAGTCCCACACTGGGCTCTCTGCTCAGCAGGGAGCGGATTAAAGATTTTTAAAATCTTTAAAAAATAGAATAAAAATTAAAAAAATAAAAATGTCTCCAGATATAGCTGGATGTTTTCTCAGGGGGCCTAAATCACCCATTAAACTCCCCTGATCTAGAGACAGTGGCCTCTTTACACAGCATTTCCTTTCCAGGTCAATAAACTTCTTCAGTAGTTATTTTCATTCAGCCACACAGGTTCTTAGAAGAGAAGGTTGTTCCAAAGTCAAAAGATCAAAGATTTAGTTTGCCCTTTACCACCAATTACTTCTGTGACCAAATTTATATTCTGAGCCTCAGGTTGTTTTTCATTTGCAAAATAGAAAAAATATATATAGGGGTGCCTGGGTGGCTCAGTCAGTTAAGTGTCTGCCTTCGACTCAGGTCATGATCCCAGGGTCCTGGGATCGAGCCCTGCATCAGGCTCCCTGCTCAGCGGGAGGTCTGCTTCTCCCTCTCTCCCTCCCTCTACTTTCTCTTTCTCTCTCAAATAAATAAAATATATATTTTTAAAGATTTTATTTATTTATTTGACAGAGATCACAAGTAGGCAGAGAGGTAGGCAGAGAGAGGAATGAAGCAGGCTCCCTGCTGAGCAGAGAGTCCGATTCGGGGCTCGATCCCAGAACCCTGGGATCATGACCTGAGCCGAAGGCAGAGGTTTTAACCCACTGAGCCACCCAGGCGCCCCTAAATAAAATATTAAAAAATTACTTTGGGGGCACCTGGGTGGCTCAGTTGTTAAGCACCTGCCTTTGGCTCAGGGTCCTGGGATTGAGCCCCGCATCGGGCTCCCTGCTTGGTAGGGAGTCTGCTTCTCCCTCTGCCTGCTGCCCTGCCTACTTGTGTTCTTTCCCTCTCTATCAAAATAAATAAATAAAATCTTAAAAAAAAAAGAAAAATATACATAGTATATGAAACATATACATGAAAGAGCTTAACAAAATTGTAAAAATTCATTGATGGTGATTACTCAACATACCATTAAAGTAGAAAAAAACAACTTTGCTCATTAAGGGAGGAACTGGTTTGCCAATTATCATAGTGAAGCCTTATGGTTTTAGCATCATCATAGGAATTCCACTTCTTCCTCTTCTTTTTTCTTTTTTTTTTTAAATTTTCTGTAGAGGGCAATTGGTTAGTATCTCTCAAAATTACAAATGCACCTTTCTTAAAAAAAAAAAAACTTTTCATTTTGGGGCGCCTGGGTGGCTCAGTTGTTAAGCATCTGCCATCAGTTCAGGTCATGATCCCAAGGTCCTGGGATCGAGTCCCATATCGGGCTCCCTGCTCAGTGGGGAGCCTGCTTCTCCCTGTCCTGCTTCCCTCACTTGTGTTCCCTCTCTCACTGTCAAATAAATAAATAAAATCTTTAAAAAAATCTTTTCATTTTGGGATAATTTTAGATTTATAGAAAAGATAAAAAATCATATAGACATTACTGTATATCCTCACCCAGCTTTCCCAAATGTTAACATTTTACCTAGCCATGAGACATTTGTCAAAACGAAGCTTTTTTTTTTTTTTTGACCTTGGAACTTTTTATTGGCCTCCTGCTCCCCATAGGGTACCCTGCTTCTGCTCCCTCAACGCCTCAGAACTTTGGTGTCATTGGTCTCAGACACGACCTTGCCGTCCACAATCCTGCGGGTAGTGGTTTTCTGGATGGTCTGCATGGAGCTGCTGCTGTCCAGGGCGTCACTGAGACTGAAGTCCTCCGCATCTTCCAGCAGGCGACGGTAGGTGGCGATCTCAGCCTCCAGCTTGACCTTGACATTCAACAGGGCTTTGTACTCCTGGGCCTGGCGCTGCCCCTCTGCCGGGGTCTGGGACAGCTCAGACTCCAGGTGCAGCAGGACCCCGTTGAGCTGCTCCATCTGCATGGCGTATCGGGTTTCGACCTCCCTAAGGCTGTTCTCTAAGCTGGCCTTCAGGTTTCTCATCGAGTCCAGGTTGATCTCCAAGGACTGGGCGGTACGTCTCAGCTCCGTGAGGGTCATCTCAGCCTCTCCTATCTCCGTGGTCTGTGTGGTGACCACTGTGGTGCTTTCCTCAATCTGCTGGGACCAGTACTTGTCCAGCTCCTCTCGGTTCTTCCGAGCCAGCTCGTCATACCGGGCCCGGATGTCTGCCATGATCTTGCTGAGGTCCTGAGACTTGGGGGCATCCAACTCCACAGTCAACCCGGAGTTGGCAATTTGGTTCTGTAGACCCTTTACTTCCTCCTCATGGTTCTTCTTCATGAAGAGCAACTCCTCCTTGAGAGCCTCAATCTCTGTCTCCAGCTGCAGCCTAGTGACATTGGTGTCATCGATGACATTGCGAAGCCCGTGGATGTCACTCTCCATGGACTGGCGCATGGCCGGCTCTGTCTCATACTTGACTCTGAAGTCATCAGCAGCAAGACGGGCATTGTCAATCTGCAGAACGATGCAGGCATTGTCCACAGAAGTTGCAAAAATCTGAGACCTCAGCTCCTCGATGGTCTTGAAGTAATGCCCCCAGTCTCTGACCTGGGGTCCCTTCTTATCCAGGTATTCCCGGATTCTCACCTCCAGTCTCTGATTAATCTGCCTCCAGGCTCCTCACCCTCACCAGGTAGGAGATCAGGCGGTCATTCAGGTCTTGCATGGTCTCCTTCTTGCCCTGCATGCCCCCTATGCCGGCCAGACCCCCCGCCATCCCGGCGGCCAACCCCGTGGCCAGGCCCCCGGACCCCCAGCCGCCCCGGAAGCTGGTGGAGCAGGATACGGAGATCCGGGAGCCTGAGCCTCCGGCGCCTGCATAGACGCTGGCCACGCTGCTGATGGGCCGGACCCGGTGGCTGGGCAACTGCATGGAGCCCAGGGACTGATAGTTGGAAGAGAAGGTGGAGTGGGTGGTGAAGCTCATGTTGTTCGGAGAGTAAGATGAGAGGCCAGGACTCGGGCTCGGGCCAGCCAAAACGAAGGTTTTAACACTGGTACAATACTACTAACTCTACTACATACACTTTATCTGGATTACACCAGGTTTCTCACTAATGGCACTTTTTTTAAAAGAATAAAATATTTTTTAAAAGACTTTATTTAAGAGAGAGTAAGAGTGTGCGAGAGAGAGCACAAGTGTGGCGGGGTGGCAGAGGGAGAAGCAGACTCCCCGCTGAGCAGTAAGCCTGATGCAGGCGATCCCAGGACCCTGGATCATGACCTGAGTGACAGAAGATGCTTAACCGACTGAGCCACCCAGGTGTTGCATGAATAAACTTTTTTTTTTTTAAAGATTTTATTTATTTATTTATTTGACAGACAGAGATCACAAGTAGGCAGAGAGGCAGGCAGAGAGAGAGAGAGAGAGAAAGGGAAGGAGGCTCCCTGCTGAGTAGAGAGCCCGATGCGGGACTCGATCCCAGGACCCTGAGATCATAACCTGAGCTGAAGGCAGAGGCTTAACCCACTGAGCCACCCAGGTGCCCATGAATAAACTTTTTTTAAAGATTTTGTTTTTAGGGATGCCTGGGTGGCTCAGTTGGTTAAGTGACTGCCTTTAGCTCAGGTCATGATCCCAGTGTCCTGGGATCGAGTCCAACATCAGGCTCCCTGCTCAGCCAGGAGCCTGCTTCTCCTTCTCCCTCTACCTCCTACTCTGCCTACTTGTGCTCTTTCTCTGTCAAATAAATAAATTTAATTTAATTTAATTTAAAAAGATTTTATTCTTACTGGGGTTCTTGGGAGGCAGTTAAGTGTCTGAATCTTGATTTTGGCTCAGGTCATGATCCTGGGGTCCTGAAACAGAGACCAGCATCAGGCTGCCGCTCAGCAGGGAGTCTGCTTGAGATTCTCTCTCTCCCTCTGTCCCTCCCCTCCACTTGCGCATGCACATTCACTCTCTCTAAAATAAATAAATAAATAAATCTTAAAAAAAATATTTTATTTTTTGGGGCGCCTGGGTGGCTCAGTCATTGGGCATCTGCCTTTGGCTCAGGTCATGATCCCAGGGTCCTGGAATAGAGCCCCGCATCGGGCTCCCTGCTCTGTTGGAGGCCTGCTTCTTCCTCTCCCGCTTCCTCTGCTTGTGTTCCCTCTCTCACTGTGTCTCTGTCAAATAAATAAATAAAATCTTTATTATTTTTTAAAAATATTTTATTTTTTTAAAGATAGATTTTTTTATCTATCTTTATCTTTAAAGATAAAGATTTTTATTTTTTTAAAGAGAGAGAGATCACAAGTAGGCAGAGAAGCAGGCAGAGGAAGAGGGAAGTAGGCTCCCTGCTGAGCAGGGAGCCCAATGCAGGGCTCGATCCCAGGACCCTGGGATTATGACCTCAGCTGAAGGCAAGCACTTAACTGACTGAGCCACCCCAGTGTTTTTGTTTTTAAGAAAACTCTTTGGGCACCTGGGTGGCTCAGTTAGTTAAGCACCTGGCTCTGACTCAGGTTATGATCTCAGGGTTCTGGAATTGAGCCCCGCATCCGGTTCCCTGCTCAGCAGGGAGCCTGCTTCTCCCTCCCCCCAACCCCCACCAAACTGCTGCTCATTTGCTCTCTCTCAAATAAATAAATAAAATATTAAAAAAAAAAAAAGAAACCTCCTTATTAAGGTATATTTTACAGACCATAAAATTCACCCATTTTATGATTCAATGACAATCATTACCTTTGTAGAGTTGGGTATCCACCACTATAATCCAGTTTGAGAACACTTCTATCATTGTAGAAAAATCCCTCTGGCCTTTCACAATTACCATTCCCATCCCAGGCAATCACTCATCTGTTTCCTTGTCTCTATAGATTTAGTTTTTCGGGAAATTTCATACAGATGGAATCATACAATATGTGGTATTTTATGTCTGGCTTCTTTCACACAACATGCTGTTATCAAGATTCAAACACATTGTAACATGTATCAGTACTGCATTGTCTAAATTGCTGAAAAGTGTTCCATCCAATGGATATATCATTTTGTTTACCCATTCACCAGCAGACAGATAATTGTTGTTTCCAATTTTTGGCTATTATGAGGGGCACCTGGCTGACTCAGTCAGTAGAGCACACCACTCTTGATCTCCGCATCACGAGTTCAAGCCCCATGCTGGGCCATAGAACTTACTTAAATAAATAAATAAATAAATAAATAAATAAAGTTAAGACTGATTATATTTGATACATAAAAATGAAAATTTTCTTCATGGAAAAATGTACCATAAGCTAGACTCCAAAGACACAAACAAACTGAGCAACAAAAGCAGTGCCCAGATTTTTTTTTTTTTCTTCAGATTTGTACACTGAATTTGTACCCAAATTTGTACACCGAAAACTACAAATGTCACTTAAGGAAATCACAGACCTATGGGTGCCTGGGTGGCTCGCTGGTTAAGCGTCCAACTCAGTTTCCAATCAGGTCATAATCTGGGAGTTGTAGGACCAAGCCCCATGCCTGGTTCCTGCTCAGCTTGGAGTCTGCTTGAGATTCTCCCTCCCCCTCCCTCTCAGCCCCTCCCCCCACTCATGCTCACTCTTTCTCTCTAAAATAAATAAAATCTTAAAAAAAAAAAAAAGAAATTAAAGACCTAAAAAAATGGAAAGATATCTCATGCTTGTAGATCAGAAAACTAATATTGGGCGCCTGGGTGGCTCAGTTTGTTAAGCGACTGCCTTCAGCTCAGGTCATGATCCTGGAGGCCCATGATTGAGTTCCGCATCAGGCTCCCTGGTCAGTGGGGAGTCTGCTTCTCCCTCTGACCCTCCCCTCTCATGCTCTCTCTCAAATAAATAAATAAAATCTTAAAAAAAAAAAAAAAGACGACTAATATTAAGAAGGTACTACTCCCCAAACTGATCTATAGATACAATGTAATCCCTATCAAAATTCCAGATGCCTTTTTTGCAAACCAACAAGATGATCCTAAAATTCATGTAGAAATGCAAGGCACCGGGCAGAGCCAAAACAATCTTGAGAAAGAAGAACAAAGTACAAGGACTCACACTTCTTCATTCTGAAACTTGCTTAAAAGCAAATTAAGACAATGTGGAAAGAGAAGACAAATACTGTATGACTGACCTTTTATGTATAATCTTAAAAAGCCAAACTCATAAAAACAGAGAATGGAGGGGCGCCTAGGTGGCTCAGTGGGTTAAGCCTCTGCCTTCAGCTCAGGTCATGATCTCGGGGTCCTGGGATCGAGCCCCCCATTGGGCTCTCTGCTCAGCAAGGAGCCTGCTTCCCTTCCTCTCTCTCTGCCTGCCTCTCTGCCTACTTGTGATTTCTGTCTGTCAAATAAATAAATAAATAAATAAATCTTAAAAAAAAAAAAAACCACAGAGAATGGAATTATTGCCAGGGATTGAGGGGTGGGAGAAATGGGGAGATATCAATCAAGGGTGCAAAATTCTAGTTATAAGATGAATAAATTCTGGGAATCTAATGGGCATCATGGTGATTATCGTTAATAGTAGTGTATTATATTGCTAATAAACTTTTGCTAACAGCTGAAAGTTGTTGAGAGTAGATGTTAAACGTTCTCACCACACCAAAAAACCTGTAATTATATGACATGATGAAGGTGTTAGCTAATGCTTTGGTGGTAATCATTTTGCAATATATAAGTGTATCAGACCACACTGAACGCCTGGGGAGCCTGGGTGGCTCAGTGGTTAAGCATCTGCCTTTAGCTCAGGTCATGATCCCAGGGTCCTGGGGTCCCTGCTCTTTTTTTTTTTTTTTTTTTTTAAGATTTTATTTATTTATCAGAGAGAGAGAAGGAGAGAGAGCGAGCACAGGCAAACAGAATGGCAGGCAGAGGCAGAGGGAGAAGCAGGCTCCCTGCCAAGCAAGGAGCCCGATGTGGGACTCGATCCCAGGACGCTGGGATCATGACCTGAGCCGAAGGCAGCTGCTTAACCAACTGAGCCACCCAGGCGTCCCCTGGGGTCCCTGCTCTTGCTCTCTGCCCCTGCTCATGTGCACACATTCACTCCCTCTCTTTCAAATAAATAAAATCTTTAAAAAAACACATTGAACACCATAAACTTATATAATGTTATGTCAATTATATTTCAAAAAAGCTGAGGAGAGGGGCATCTGTCTTCCACTCAGGTCATGGTCTCAAGGTCCTGGGATGGAGCCTTGTGTTTGGCTCCCTGCTCAGCAGGGAACCTACTTCTCCCTCTTCCTCTGTCCCTCCCCCACTTGTGCACACTTTCTCTCTCAAATAAATAAATAAAATCTTTTTTTAAAAAAGAGAGAGACATAACCCAATTTAAAAATGGACAAAGGAGGGACGCCTGAGTGACTCAGTCAGCTAAACATGTGCCTTCGGCTCAGGTCATGTTCCCAGGGCCCTGGGATTGAGTTCCGCATGGGGCTCCCTGCTTAGTGGGGAGCCTGCTTCTCCCTCTGCCTGCTGCTCCCCCTGCTTGTGCTCTCTCTCCATCTCTAAGAAATAAATAAACAAAATCTTAAAAAAAAAATGACAAAGATCTGAATGGATATTTCTCCAAAGAAAATAAACAGCCAATAAGCATATAAAAAATGTTCAACATCATGTAATTAGGAAATTATAAATCAAAACCACAATGGGATACCATTTCACAGACACTAAGATGACTAAAAAAGCAGGAAAATAACAAGTGTTGTCATAGATACTGAAAAACTGGAACCCTCATACATTGTTGATAGTACTGTGAAATGGCAGCGCCACTTTGGAAAGTGATGGTTGATGGTTTTCAAAATGTTAAACAGTTACTATATGACTCACAAGAGAATATATGCCCAACCAACTGAAAATACAAAAATCTGTACATGTATGTTCATAGTAGCATTATTCATAATAGCTAGAAAGCAGAATCAATACAAATTTCCATCAACGGGTGAATGAACAAACAAAATGTGGTCTGCACACACAACGGAATATAATTTGGCCTTAAAAGGGAACGATATTCTGATACACGCTATATGAACCTCACAGTATTATGCTAAGTGAAAGTGAGACACAAAAAGCTACAAACTGTAAGATTCCACTTAAATGAAATAC